TTCTAGCTCCATAGATCAGCAAGCTCCACCAAGTGCCTGGAGGCACCCCATTCCACCAACAAGCCTCCTGCTTGAAAGCACTCAGTCTCTTGCTCAGTGTGCCAGGAAGCCCACCATGCTGTCTCTCCTCTCAGTCTCCTGGTTCTGCTGCCTCTGCCATTGCCGTTTCTCTGCCACTGCTTCTTGTCATCTCTGGTATTCCAGCTGTCTCTCTATCTCCTGGCTCTAGGAGGTCTCAGCACAGAGATACTAGGTCCAAAGGATGTGCCCTGTCCCATCTCTTCTTCTTGGTGGTAGTGAGGTGCCTCCTTTGCTCTGGGATTGGCTCTCTTTTTTAACCCTAGCAGGATGACAGAACTGACCGATCTCTTCATTAGAGTTTCATGCCCCTTATTTGCATGGTCCCATCCCCACAGGAGTTCCATTCAACTTATTTGCATTCTTAGCAGGTTGCCCAATCTCCTTAATGGGCCACAAACACTGTATTTGCATAGTCCCACCCAGTCATTTTGTGGGAGTCCCAACGACTATGGCTAGAAGAGCCATATTAAGTTCCCTACAACAGAGGTGCATTGTCTGGGACTGAAACCTGGATCTCCTGTACAGAAGGTGAGAATTCTACTACTGAACAGCCAATGCCCTCTTTTTCCATCTATAATGGCTTCCAAGACTATATTTTTTAGAAGTGTGCTGTTCCTTCTTCACTTCTTTGTCTTTTTCTTCACATCGATGCTTCTTTGAATGGCAGTTTGTGCTGGCTCTCTGAATCACCACACATCTCATTCACTACTCAACCCACTGCATCTGACTTCTGTCCCTTGCCTCCTATTGCATGGAACATGCTAAACTTACTTCTTTTACTGCCTTTGGTAGCAGTTTTAATTTTCTTTCAAACCATTGTGACTAAAGGAGTTTATCTTTTCAGCTAGTGGCCCATCATTGTACTGTGCTTCATTCGCTCTGGTGGACTTAGATGTTCTTTGCCTGAAAATCTTTGATTATTGTGAAGTTAAACTTGATACCACTCTTTGATTGCCGATTCCATTTCATTTATTATAGATTAAAAAAAAAAATCTTTAGTAACTGAAATGGAATTGGTAATTAATGACTGACAAAGGGTGATATCAAATTATTGTAGATGGAGTTAATTAAATGGTTTTGTGAATCAAGAATAGCATCCCATTGTCATTATTGTCAATGCTGAGCTTATAAGTTTATAGAATGAGTGAAAACAAGCCTGGTGGTGAATTGGTGTTTGAAAATGGATTAGGAGCTTCATTGGAAACCTCCATGAGGTGGCAGCTTAAGGGTGTCCAACAGAAAAATTTGATTAATGAGTCAGAGTTAACAGGATTTATTGAGTAAGGACCTGTTCAGAGACTGGGAGCATCCCAAATTAAAAATGGTGAGGAGACTTGAATTTACACAGTTATAACATCCTTTTAAAGTTTAGTTGAGTAAGTATTTTGCCCTTTGCTTTGGTTGGTTCCAAAAAAAAAAAAAAAATACCCAAACTCACTGCCGTTGAGTCAATTTGACTCATAGTGACCCCTCCTTGGGTTTCCAAGGCGGTATCTCTATGGAAGGAGATTGCCAAAATCTTCCTTCCGAGGAATGTCTGGTGGGTTTGAACTGCCAACCTTCTGGCTAGCAGTCAGATTCTTTAGGGACTGTGCTACCAGAACTTAATTATATCTAATTTTCCTTTTGGGAAAGTTGGTCACTGAATGCTAAACTGGGGTATCTTGATAGGATGAGTGTTGCTAACTCATGCTGCTAAGTAAAACTTGCTTAGTTTTGATTCTATTTCTTATAAATGGCCTTATGACTAATTTTTGTTTGGCTCTTTGCCCAGAGAAGCCATTTAAACTTGCCTCTATTAAAATTTTTAACAAGGGTTCATGAGTTTCACTGAGGAGCTCTCTTGGGGGTCACTAGATTTCTCAGAACAAACAGAACTTACAGCCAGGAAACCAAGTGAGGGGACCAAGAGGCCAGAATCCTGGGCTTTTTTTCTGTGGAAAGTCTGGAAGACTGCCCAAGTCCAGGGCCTGACTGCTGTGAGGGTGAGGGACTGGAATGGCCTCCATTCTTTCTCCTGTGCCTTTGGTCGCATCATCACTTTGTCTTTTCATCTCTGGGAAAAAGACAAGGATGGACTAGAGGAAGATCAGGAAGTAAGACAAGCTGGGTTTGGAAACATTGGGTTTGCTCAGAAGTAGGAAAATATAAGAAAACCCATCTCTATAAAAGGACGTGGTAAGCACTGCCCAAACCTGGTAGGTATATTGAATCTAATCATTAATTTGTGGTTGTGATATAATGGTGGTTCAACCTCGTGCAAAGAGCCATTCTCTTCTCCTATCCAGTCGGAAGGGTCCCCATTGCATAGACACTGCCTGTCAATGACTGGAGCTTCCCATAAGCCTTACTTATGGCAGGGCTTGTGGAGGTATAAAACCTGGCCTGGGCATGATCAGCTCTGTGGAGCCAGCGGTGATTCTTCTCCCTGTGGGACACATGGGCTTGGGGAGAGCAAAGCAGAGGGGAAGTATTACATAGGAATTGTCAGAACCCCTTGAAACTGCAATGAAGGAGAACAGGAGGAGCAGAGAGTGTGAGAAGCCACAGATGAAAGGGATTTTATTCGCAACTGCCAAGGAGGATCTTAGGATGTCTGAGAAATGTGTTCTGAAAAGAGGAGCATATGATAGATTCCTTGTTTGTTTGTGTTTTCCCCATAGAAGGGCAATGGATTAGTTTCCTGTGGCTGCTGTAACAAATTACTACAAACTTGATGGCCTAAAGCAACAGAAATTTGTTACGTGGCAGTTCTAAAGGCCAAGAGTTTCAGAAGTCTGAAATCATGGTATTAGTAGGACTGTGTTCCCTTGGGAAGCTTCAGGAGAGGATATTTTCCTTGACTCTTCCTGTTTCTGGTGGTTTCAAGCATTCTTTGGCTCCATCACTCCAGTCTCTGATTCCTTCTTCACATAGCCTCCTCTGATTGTCTGTCTAATCTTCCTCTGCCTCTTTATAAGGATACTTGTGGTTGCATGTACGACCCACTTGCATTTAAAAAACAAACAAACCCATTGCCATGGAATTAATTCTGACTCATAGTGACACTATAGGACAGAATAGGGTTTCCAAGGCTATAAATCTTTATGGAAGCAGACCGCTTCATCTTTCACCCTCATAATTCAGGGTAATCTCATCTCACGATCTTTAATTTAATCTCACGATCTTTAATTTAATCACATCTACAAAGACCCTTTTCCAAAGAAGGTCACATTTACAAGTTCCAGGGATTAGGACTTGATATCTTGGGTGGCCATTATTCAACTTACTACATGCAATTAAGAAGCTAAATAAATTACCCTAACATAATTGCATGGTCTGTTAAAAGAGGCAGATCATATTACGGCTAGGCTTTTAGACTGTTGTTTATTCTTGGTACCTTAAGAATTTCATTGCCAAAGGGTGTAATTTTTTTTTTTTTAAACACAGAGTCAAGCAGAGACAGAACCTAATTGTACTTTTCAGCATCTCTCCCTCCTCTCATAGACACACACATAGACATGTAGACACACATACATGTATCACCACCATCTGTCTGTCAGTTTGTTGTACTGTCATGACTTGTGTGTTGCTATGATGCTGGAATCTATACCACTGGTATTCCAATACCAGCAAGGTCACCCATGGTGGACTGGTTTCAGCGGAACCTCAGACTAGGAAGAAAAGCTGGTAGTCTGCTCCCAAAACGTAGTCAATAAAAACTTATGAATCATAATAGACTGTTGTCTGATATTATGCTGGAAGATGAGACCCCTGGTTGGAAAAGCCCAAAACCAAACCCACTGCCATCCAGTTGATTGTGATTCACAGTGACTCTATAGGAGAGAGTAGAACATAACCCCACAGGCTTTCCAAGGCTGTACATCTTTACAGAAGCAGGCTGCCACATCTTTCTCTGGAGGGCTGCTGGTAGATTTGAACCACTGACCTTTTGGTTACCAGTAGAGTGCTTTAACCACTGCACCATCAGGGTTGGAAAGCACTCAGAATACACAGTGTCCGCAACAATGGACTTGATCGTACAAAACATCTTGGAGATTATGCAGGACTGAGCAGCATTTTCTTCTATCATCCATGAGGTTGCCATGAGTTGAAGTTGACTCTGTGGCAGCTAACAACAACAATTTACCAAAGGGAATAGGTAAACATTCTGGATCCAGTGGCAGAAGACTTGGTCTAGGGCAGAGAAAGGACTGAGTGGAAGGACCAGGGATGCTGCACCCTTGGGCGTTGGATCCCTGAGACCTCTAGCCAAACCCTAGAACTGAAGAAGGGGGCAGATTTGACTGCTTCAGAAGAGAGGGCCTGTGGACAGGATCAGACCTGGAGGGGGATGATGGTGAGGCCTGAGAGGGTGTAGGGGGAAACCCTTTTCTCCAGGAGGACTTGATATTCACTCTGTCTTCCCTAGAATCAAGCTCGACATGAACCTTTTGCTGAATGTTCCAGACAACCATTTTAATTTGCCTAAGTAAATTTCATTCTTTTCTTAATTGAACTTTTGATTTTTTTCCCGGATGCTCTTTTTTTTTTTTTTTTTTTCCCTTTGAAAAGAAAGAAAAGAAAAGAAAAACAAACAGTTGCTGTGGAGTTGGTTCTGACTCAAGGTGACACCCTATGTGTTGCAGAGTAGAACTGTGCTCCATAGAGTTTTTAATGACTGTTTTTGGAAGTAGATTGACAGGCCTTTCTTCTGATGTACCCCTAGGTGAGTTCCAACTGCTAACCTTTTGGTTAGTAGCTGAATGTTTAACTGCTTGCACCACCCTGGGCCTTTTTGTCCTTGATGCTATTTAATTAAAGTTTTTCTCTCAGTGCAGAGAAGTTGCTATGTATTTTCCTAGGGTTCTTATTAACAGTCAAGCAATGACCTTTGTCTGCAGTGACTGATAATAGCCATGTTTGTGGTTTCTCCTTAGGTGGCCATAAAAGTCATTGATAAGAAGAGAGCCAAAAAGGACACCTATGTCACCAAAAACCTGCGGCGCGAGGGGCAGATCCAGCAGATGATCCGTCACCCCAACATCACCCAGCTCCTTGATATCTTAGAGACCGAAAACAGCTACTACCTGGTCATGGAGCTGTGTCCGGGTGGCAACCTGATGCACAAAATCTATGAGAAGAAGCGGCTGGAGGAATCTGAAGCCCGCAGATACATCCGACAGCTCATCTCTGCAGTTGAACATCTGCATCGGGCTGGAGTGGTCCACAGGTAAGGGCCATATAGCACTGATGAACTTTGACACTATGCTGAGTAGATGGCACTGTGCTTCAACATGTTCTAATGCAACTTGTTTTACATTTATATTCTATGGAGTTGTTTTGTGGGTTGATGGTAATAGGGGGTTAAAAGAGTTGAGTCAAGAGCTAGACTGCCTGGGTTCTATCCAGGCTCTGTCATTTACTAGCTGTATGACCTTACGCAAGTTACTTAACCTCTCTGAACCTCAGTCTCTTCATCAGTAAACATCTGTAAAATGGGAATTATAATATTACTTATTTTAGGATTGGTATAAATAAAGGTAAATAAGTTAGTGTAGTGTCTTAGTTTCCTGGTGCTGCTGTAACAGAAATACCACACATGGTGACTTTTGAAGAACTGACTCACTGGCACCTAACACAACATCTTCCATGGGCGTTGATTGTGGGTCCAAGTAAAATGAAATTCCTGACAACTTCAATCTTTTCTCCATTTATCATGATGTTGCTTATTGGTCCATTTGTAAGGATTTTTCTTTTCTTTTGTTGAGGTGTAATCCTTACTGAAGGCTGTAGTGTTTAATCTTCATCAGTAAGTGCTTCAGGTCCTCTTCACTTTCAGCAAGGAAGGCTGTGTCATCTGCATATCGCACATTATTAATGAGTCTTCCTCCAATCCTGATGCCTCATTCTTCTTATTGTCCAGCTTCTTGGATTATTTGCTCAGCATACAGATTGAATAAGTATGGTGAAAGGATACAACCCTGATGCATACTTTTCCTGATTTTAAACAATGTAGTATCCTCTTATTCTGTTTGAATGAGTGTTTCTTGGTCTAAGTAGAGGTTCCTCATGAGCACAATTAATTGTTCTGGAATTCCCATTCTTCTCAATGTTATCCATACTTTGTTATGATTCACACAGTAGAGTGCCTTTGCATACTCAGTAAAACACAGGTAAGCATCTTTCTGGTATTCTTTGCTGTCAGTAGACATCCATCTGACATCAACAATGATATCTCTTTGTGATAGTTATGTTTATGTGTCAATTTGGCTGGGCCTGGTTGAGTGGCTGGGCAGCTGGATATAGTATTCCCCATGATGAGACTGGTAATCAACTCCATGGTGGAATCTACTGTGAGCAGCTGAGTAGCTGCCTTTGGGTATGTGGTCTGCTTCCTGTA